GCTTGGAAAGACGCTGGGAAAAGCCATACGGCCTAGAAATCTGCTGACCCAAGTAACTGCTCGAGCACTTGTCCCGCCAAAGTAGCAAAGCAATATGGCAAAGCCGTGTTCGTACGAAGCCGGGACAGTGTGGACACGGCTTAAAGCGTCTACAATGTAAATAGCCTGACAATTTTTGAGAAACCTGGAGTTTGCTTCTTTCTAAATTTCCCCGCGCTCTGCAGCTATCTCCCCGAAGTAGACACGGGCAACTATTTGTGACAAGAGTGCTCAAGGTTCCTCTTCTGGGACACCTGACCTCAAACGCTGGATAAAAAACGGGTGTTTTGAACTCCGGATTCATCCATTTTGCAAGTCATGTTCACCTTTTTTTCAAATCAAATTCATCCTTTTGCAACTTATATTCACCGTTTTTCAAGTCGAATACATTCTTTTACGATTCAAATTCATGTTGTACGTGTCTCGAGAGAGTGAAATGATATAAATCTAGTTTCAAATATTTGTTGCAATCTGCTTCAGGGTTTACCATAGAAACTGAATGAAGCCGATTGGTATTGTAATTAGTTTTGAGCAATATAAGCCTCCACGTTGGTCATAAAAGGCACACTTTACGATTTTTTGACACCTTCGATGTTGACCCAATTGAAATTTTTTAAAAATTTACTCCGATAGATACTATATTTTCTCGTAGATATTATTAATTGTAACAGTTTTACGTGCATGCAATGGAATTAAAAATTTTAGAATAACTTTACATTGGATTTCATTTTGATTACAATAGTTTAAGGAAACGATATAGAGAAGAACTTAATTTGCAAAAGGATCAATTCGATCTATGAAAGGGTGAATTTTATTTACAAAAGGTGGAATACAATTTGAAAAGGGATAAATTTGGAGGGCATAACCTGTACCTACTATTTTTCCATTATCACCTATTTTTTTAATTTTTCAGGCATCACTCTGTAACTGCCGATTTTATGCATTTATAGCAAAAATGATCAAATGAAATATATAACAGTGCGCACATTACAAGAATCTTGAATTACTGTTATATTACTGTCAATCATTACAAATCATTGAAATTGGAGATAAATTTTTCTATAACCCCTGTGTTTGTTACTATTCAGGTGGAACACTTTTATTTTACATAAAAATCCGCAGTCTACAGGCAGAAAACCATTAAAATTGTCTCCTGTTCAATCATCAGAACTACAAAACCCGTAAAAATGACGGATTTCTTATTCTTTGTTTTATAATTATTGAGAGTATGAAGATGCTTTTGTGAACAGTCACTGGATATATGTAATTGTCCAGTTGTATCTTGTACAAAAAATCGTGCAATAACTAGATAGATAGGATCTAATTATGTTTTAAAATGGATAGAATCTGGTCGGTTTTAATGTTCGATAGTGCTAGTGTTAAACCAGGAGTACATACCGCACTTCCCGACCGGAATGCTTCTCGACTCTGCCGACTCGTCTGTCGCCTAGGGCTTGCGCTTGATTTCCGAACGATATCAAGATTCCTTTGAAAACGCAAAAACAGCAATCCCGTAAGCAGGAGTAGTTTACGTTAGAATGGAGAAATGGGTGCCAAGATCGGGTCGATTACTCGTTACGCCCCTGGAAATGTACATGATTATCGTACCAACGCACGAGAGCCAGTAATTAGACGACATATTAGATCGTAGTCTTTGGGGATATTAGCTGCACCAATACGAGTCACTGTGAAATTCCACTTAACTTGAAAGGAGGAAGTTCTCTGGGATTCTACGTAGACTCAAGTTTGCGATGAGTCATCATTGGATGACTAGCCTGCGAATTTTATGCGTTTACGATCAAATTGAGTGGTTGCAATTTATAGCAATAAAATGACTAAAAAAAATGTTTAAATGTCAATACAATATTTTTAATCTATTTCAATGATTACAAAAAGATGAATCTTCTATTTAGTTTTTATTAGACAATTTTCGTTTTGTATAAAAATTCACGATCTAATGATAGCTAGGGTGACGTGACAAATTTTTTAACGCCATATGTACATATTTCTAGCCTACTATACACAAGATGATCATTGTTCGATTATTTTCAATGACAGTGGGAGTAAAGCAGTCAGTATATTCTATAGAAATAATTTTACAAAAATCCAAAATATTTATGATCACAGAGAGCAAGTATATTAAAATATCTAGTAATTGATTACTAGAAAATACACCAGTCTTAGTTAGTTAAGAATTATAGAATAAAGACACTAGTGTAATTTTAATCGATACAGCACAATAAGTGAACAGTTCAATTGTCCGGATTTTTCATATATTACTTATTTTATCACATTTATAATTGTACGTAAACACGTATAGACATAAAACAATTATATGTTAATATAAGATATTGTTAAAAATCATGTAATCATACTTCTAAAGTTAGTCTAACTATAACATAATATGATATATACCGTATATTATATTGTAATACATTGCTAACTTTTGTGAGCAGGACACGGTTAATGAATTGCTAATGAGACTGCTTTCTTAAATGTCATCAAACTTTGAACTCTTACAGCCAGCTACCAAGTGACAGATGCTGCACAGCTGATCAAACACTAGTTTCATCATAATTAATATTCGCTTTCTTGAAAGGCATGCGAAAAAATGTGGCGGTAAGCAGAAACAAAAAACTTTCATAAAATAGTATGAATACGTTCTAAAGAAAATGTCAAGCAACAGTAATCGAAATAATTTTATCACACGAACAACAAAATCGTGTACAATTTTTACACATCCAATAGATCAATCATAAAGTCTAAAGATGTACAATATTTTCTGCAGACAAAAAATGTTGACATAACAAGAAGTTATTATACTTGATTTCATCGATACGCAATAAAAAGTCTCTATTTCAGGAAATAGAAAGTTCTTTTTAGCGTGACAATTGCAGCGTGATAGGAATTGCACACGAAAGGCCAAGAAGGGGGAGTCACAGTGTCAGTGGCGGTGAAAAATTTGCCAATTAAAAAAAATCTCATTTCTCCTGGTAACGAGGGGCGGCGTGCAATTAACGTCAGCGGCGAAAATGATTTATGGGGTGAGTAGAGGAGGGTGTGAGTCGTGGGCGAGAGGCTAGCTTATCATAAATTAATGAATTATCAGTTCTCACTACGTGGTATGGGGATATGAGGGAGGAAGTAGCACACAGCGTCAATATTTAAAATATTCATCGGAATACTCGGTCTCCCAGAAATTTCTTTTATGACACAGTTATTTTATAGAAACGCGATACTAACTTTCTGTAATGCAGAACCGCTGACTTTAAAGTTTAAACCTACATTTCACGATAATGATAGTATAGAAAAATGATAGAACTTAAAGAAAAATTCCAGAACACATTTTTAAAATGTTGATAAGCATACGAGCATAGTCATTAAATAAAATGTAATATTGCAATAAACTGGAAAATATGAGAATTTATAGTATTTTCTTTTTTTGAACAGTTAAAGCTGTATAAGTATCTAATTATGTATCAGCATGAATTCATAGATTTATATTTCTTTCTTCGATCCTTGAAGAAAATAGAAATCAATAAATATATAACTATCCAACACATTAATGATCTGCGTACTTCCACTAACGTTTTTATCGCGATCATACTACTTTAGATTTTGAAAAATCCTCCCCACCTGAAATCAAAGTAAGCATCCAATATAAATCAAATTATAAAATTTGAAGAAAAGTGTTCGTATCCAATAATTATAAATGCAGTGAGTTGAACTATTAATTTGTAAGTGTGTCATTCGACCCCTTGATGATGCTAGCTGCTATGCTACCAGAACGTTGGGATAGTTTGGCAAGAGAACATCAAAGCTTCGACGATAGGAAAACCTACCCACGTACACACACTTACCTTTTGCAAGCATTGCTATTCATGAAAGCTTTAACAAGCGTGTATTTTATCATAATTCCTTGTACTTTAAGTTTAAATGTTACCACGCGAATCAATACTTAATATTTCTAGCTATTTTCTTTCTTTAAAACGTTTCTCGTTCTCATTAAAGGACGTATCAAAATTCAACAATGGATATTTCTTTACACGACCATAAATAAAATCCAATATATAAATTAAAATTTCTCCTATATAACGATTTTTATCAGCGAATAATGTTTATTCTTTAAAGTTTATTAATCGCATTCACTACACTTAAACTTAATTTTATTTCAAACTGTATTTTATAAAACTAAACAATAGAACGAGTTCATTATTATTATTAACATTGCATGTTCAATATTAACTAAATCAATCGAAATTCTCTTCTTATACTGTACGATTTGTCTACTTTTGTTTGATAGTTTTATTAATTATTATACTGCGGATCTTTATGCATTTGTGATATGTGTGAATTTTTAAGTACAAGATAACGTACAGATCAACAAGGTAACTGCATTTTTATTTTCTTAAGAAACTTTTTATTCATTCTAATTTTTGTAAAATGTGAATTCGCATAAAGATCCGCAATCTATTAATTATAATGTACCTAAAGACTAGGTGAAATACAAGACTGTAAAGAGATCAGAATAATTTGAGAATTATGTACAACTTATAAAAATGATTAAAAGAGGACAGATATCTGCGTCAGTCTTACGTTTCTTACAATTTACTTAGGCAAGATTTTTTTGCATAAAGATCCCTAGTCTAATTATTATTATTGTTATTATCATTATCTTATAGTTAATATTGCGATGCTGCAGAAAGTCTCCTCAAGTAAAATATATGACATAGTACATAAAAGAATCATAGATTCATATAAATGTATACAGCAGTGTCTCATAGTATTTTCTTGGAGTGTAAATCCGAGGAAAATTACTTTTCAAACGAAGAACGACTATTAATTTCTATCCCAGATATTGGAACGTTCTCTGTATATCCCTACATGGTCGACCGTAACGATCGACGGGAAAGTTGGTTCCGGGGTCGAGCAGCAGACGTCGCCACTGTTACCAACATGGCCACGTGCTAAACGTGTTTACGCGAAAGTGCGTCATCTTTCGTACTTCTCTTGTTCATATACCGAAGTATTGGCCGCGAGATTACGGTGCCGAGTTTCTTGACATGCGTGCGCGGTGACTGACAGTCATTTACGTGCTCCTTGCGAGCATGGCGGGTGCGGATGCGCCTATTCCGATGTGCACCTGCGACGTTCGGAATGTGGTTACCTGTTCCGCTGTCAAGCAGGATGCACCCACGAGTAGAGTAGTCAGGAGTTACCGACCCCATGGCAGCCTCGCCAGAGTGCTTTACGACAAGCAGAGAGCAGACGAACAGCTCGAGGCCTACGACAAGACTCAGGCAAGTGTAGCGTAACTAGGTTACGTTTCTCGTCCAATCCTGAACCTCCGTCTCTAAATCTCGCGTATCCGCCTGGGAATATTTGCATTGCCGCCTGAGATCACGTCATTGGTCCCCAGTACCATAGATATAGTAGGTCACGTCGATAAACGCTGGAACTGATTTTTTTCCTTGACCGTCGAACTCCAATAACGTTCGCAGCAAATGTTCTTAACGAGAACGAAACTATTCGAGCGAATTTAACTTTGTTAATGCTGCGAGAAGAAATGTTTTTTTTTTTAGCGAAAAAGTACTTGTAAGTATACACATACTTGCTTAGAAATCCCATGATGCTAATACAGAGAAACAAAATGAATCGGATAAGATAACGTTCATTTGAATGCAACTGATTCACACGTTATCGTCGAGTTTGGTTGCGTACTCGAGCGAAGTGAACGTTAATCACGCTTAATTATACTGTTCCGAAAGAGTCCCTTTCCGAGAATTCAGTCTTTAAAATCTGGACTCCAGAAACCGTGAGTGCCGCACGGGCCAGCAAGGTAATTAGGGATGCTGAGGGAGGAAACGGTCACAGGGGATGGGGCAGGGAGAGGGGGTCAGTAATAATTAGTACAATTACCGCACAAGGCCAACCACTGACTAAAACCTCTTTCCTCGAAGCTGCTCAAGAGTCAAGACCGTGCTCGGTAATTACGGGACAATTACGTCCTCGATATTCCTGAAACATCGAAGCCGCTCCGGGCGCTGCCCACCTCTCGCAATTAGTTCTATACGCGAACCACGAGTTGATACTATTTATAATTACATCGTCCGATTGTTTTTAATTCGACTCTCGCGTGAGTGCCGGTAATAAGGAAGGATTCTATTTTTTTTATACAAACCACGTATGTAGTTCCAGAGTCTGGGGTACGCACAGCAGGATCAACTTTATGATAACTTGTTGAATGTACGATCAACAGCGGCAAAAAATACCGTATAATCAAAGTAATTTATTTATTACAACAGATTTTGCAGTTTTTTAAATTAAGTGTCTATATAATTTTTGCATAGAATAATTATCGACGTTGCCTTAAGTACCTTTCAAATTTCAAGATAAATCTTACTTCGAGATTAATAATTATTAAATAAATATTTGTATCTCTAATTTTGGTTTGTTTAACTACTATGTACAATCTCTGAAAACAAAAGTACCATGGCAATTTCAGATTCAAAAAGAATAATTATCTTAATGATGTCATTGATTTTCTTCATTGCAATAGTTACATAACTGTGTGCAATGCTCATCGATTCTCGCTTCTTTGCAACCTTGAAGTAACAACCAAGAACGGTCTGCGTCGAAAACGACTCAGTACGCAGATAGAGGATTGAGTTACTGCAACAGTTATTTTATTGGAAAATCAGATACTTTTGAAGAGTGGTCAGAAAATATCATTTTTACCAGTTTTTTAAACTGTTTAAAGTTTCGATTTTGGCGAGTTTTCGATGTCATTTTACGAATTTCAGTTTTTAGACGGTGAAATACTGCAACCTGCTAGGGTATAGCTACAGTAGATTACTGCGAAGTTTACCAATTGCTGTGCCTGCCATTTGTTTTGGGCCTAATTACTCATATTTATTGAATGAGACATTCAATTCTTTTATTCAAAGATAAACAAGATAAAAGAATACAAAAATTGAGTATGTATTAATCGATAAATATGAAGTTAATTATGCCCGAAAACAAACCCAAAGCACAGCAAATGGTCACCCCACAGTAAATAGCTCTACTACCCTAATGTTATTCCTTTAAAACTAATTAACGATTTGAGCAGTTTCTCTAACAAGAATTAAAACTTGTTGTGATCTGTTCTTCGAAAAAGTATACCTAAAATATATTTAAAGGCGTGATGATAGTTAATATTTTTCTGGTAGAACGACATGTGTAAAATATAAAGCACTATTTTTTTTCGTATAACATAGTGATTGTTATACAACCAAATAAATAAGCGGCTAATTGTTCTTTATATATATATTTATATTATATCTATATATTATATCTATTTATATTTTTTTTTATATTGCGAGGTAAGTATTTATTTCGAAGCTCTTTTTACTTTTTAATTTTACTTAATAGTAAGTGTACTACTGGTTTCAAATTTCGAACAAGTGTGTACATAAAACTTAATCATTTAATATTCAATTTTATCAACTGATGTATACTCAGCCAATGATGGTTGATTGGAAAACCAGAGACAGACATAAATAATAAATCGAAGATAATGGAGATATTAATAAAAAAGTCTGATAACAACGAAGATGACGATATTGATAACGCAAAACACATGTGTATTACTTCTTGTATCTAGAGAGCTTTTGACGTAAACAATAGCGATGAAAATAATCTTTTGTACAATTGTTAGTTCCATAAAACAAATCAATATTGGTTATCTTCATATCCCTCAAACGGTTTAATTGTTTAAGTTCTATAAAAAATATAATCTTATATTTTGGTTTTATTACAATTATAGCTTAAACACCCGCCATTATCCACTTCTTCCCTACAAACCTGAAATAATAGAAACCGAATAAACATTTATTATAACTATAAATCATTAGACTGCGGATTTTATGCATTTATGACAATAATGGTTAGATCAAGTACAAAACGGTAAAAATATTCAAAGAATCTCAAAATACTGTTGCATTATTTTCAACTCATTAAAATTTTTAAGAAACAGAATAAATCTCTGTGTAGCCCCTGTATCTTGCAATTAGTGCCGGCGATTTTTATTTTGCATAAAAATCCACAATCTAATAATCATATTTCAAATTGTTTTATTTCGGAAAACCGATCACAGTAAATTCTGTAAAATGTTTACTCCGGAGCGACAACCATGAAAGTCAATTTTCGAAAAATAGAATACCTTTGTTTATTCTTTTCTACACTTCTCAGTGTGATCTTAAAACGTAAGTTTCATTAATCCCTTAACATTCGTGTATGTTACGTGCTTAAAAAAGAACGATTTGAATCCGTATAAAGCTTATTAAAGTCGAAAGTATGCTATTTCCCCTTCACAATCATGAACCATTTAAAAATTGATTCTCCGTTCCGAAATAGCATAGATGAAGACTATTGTGCGTTAAGGGGTTAAAAAGGAAAACAAACTTCTCTGCATTCGGGAATCATGTATTCCACATAGCAAGCAATTACTGTACCCGCGATGAAAGCATTTCCTCCAGTCCTCGCCGTAGCAACATGCACAAACAATAGTTAATATTCCGTCGTATGTCTGTGCCTAAGTCAAATACAATGCGACGCGTGTGTGGGTACGTGGTAAGGTAAAATCCATTCGCGGACGAGGCTGACTAGCGGAAGAAGGAAGCTTTTATCGGTGTTTGCAAGAACCTTTTGCTACGACAGAGAGCAAATCGATTCGGAAGGCTGGCTGAGCCGAGTACTCGAGCAGGTGCCCGCAGGAAAAGAGAAGAATCCCATTCGGTCGCGTGAAACGAGAAATTTGAAATTCGTGAAGAGGGACGTCCCCGCGAGATTTCAACCCCCAACTCCCAGCGACCAAAATCGACGCAAGACGTTACTTCTCCCCTTTCCTCTAGAGCCCCTCGCGGCAACAAACCCTCCGCGCGCTATGTTTCTGGGGCTGCCAACATCTAATATCCCTGAGCAGTCTGAAAACTTTACTCTCAGACGACGGCGGGGGCGTGAATACGTCGAGGCTTGGTGGTGTTTTTAGGTTTTTAAAAGGCTAGTGTGCCGGCACTGTCTTCGCCGGGAGAAGGGGAGACAGTTGCGAAGGGTGCTGCTTTAAAATATTAAATGACTGATGGATGAGACTCCGGAGAGAGGAGCGGAGAGCCGCCGTTAGACGACAAAGATATTTACCGCCGAGACGGTTGCATCTTCTTCCTTCCAGCCACCCGGCTTTTACGTCACCGTGTGTCCCCGTTTCTTAGGAATTTTAACTTCTCGGCATGGTAGTTGGCGTTGTTGCTCTCGTCGATCTTGCCGCGTCTGCGGCTACACGCCGAGCCGGCTAGATGCTTGTAAAATCCTTTCGACGACACGCGCGTCGCTCAGACCGGTGATAATCATAGTAGCAAGCGATTAGAGATTAATATCATCAAAGAGAAGTGGAAAACGTTCTTCCGATTGCGGTTGACTTTGGCGACTAGCGAACGCCGTCCTCCTTATGGCTCTCTTCAGTGACTAACATCGACGTTGATAAAGAGAGTACATATCGTTGACTTTTCATCTGCTGTTTTCTTACCATGACACTGTATATGTACATCTATAATACATCCTAGAGAAGCTTATATTGATCTTTTCTGTGTAACCTCCATTAGGAGATAGTTTCTATTATACTTTATTTGATAGTTTATTATTTACGTATTTATCAATGTAACAAAGTGTGCGATGTCCAAAGCCAATACATGTTCAAAATGGTGAAATGCTGTAATAATAATAATAATAATAATAATAATAATAATCTCCTAAGTGTTAAGTCGTTTAAAAATGCTCGAGGTGAAAGAAACGTAAATTAATGGATTAACAATTTATATTTAATATGTATTTCGATTATATTAGATCATTAGATATGAAATGCATACTTCACTCTGTAATTTTACTACAAAATCTGTAAATTTCATACTTAATGACCTAATAAGATGTAGTTGTTGATGTATTAAAGCACATTAAGGAATATAGCATTAATAAATATAGGATCTTCCTTATGCAATATAACTGAAAAATAAAGATATTTCTGAAACAAAATACGTTTAAAAAAATCAATAAACCGTAGCCCCTGTTTCTAGATAATCGAAAAACGTCAGATAACTCCAGTAACTTCCAATGATTATTTATATTGGTTTTCACTCCACCTGCCTCGCAAAATTTATGTTGACTTGACGCATCAATACCTGCACAATGGTTGTCGGTTCAATTTTTGCATTTCTTGTACCGGATCCTTCTTTTTTCCGAAGTATTCATTGTAAAAATTTATTAA